GAGTGACACAGGCGAAGCAGGGGAAAGAGACAGAAAATAGAGACACGAAGGGAGTGTCGGAGATGGGGACACATGGAGAGACAGGGAGAAACAGAGACAGAAGAGGAAGCAAAATAAGGAAACAACCATGACAGACAGTCAGTTGACTTGAAACACACACGGAGAGAGAGACAAACAGAGGTGGGGACAGACATGCTGAGTGTCTCCTGAGAGAAGAAGGGCATGCAGCAGAGGCAGCCACCAGGCGTGTGCGGCGCCCTGTGTCGTGTGTGTGGCAACTCTGTGTTGGCCGGTGCATACACGCGCTGCAATGTTTTGTGTGTACATTTGCCTGCAAACGACAGTTGGCTCTGGTACATGGCTGAGTGGTGCCAGGCACACTAGCCCTGGCAGAAGCACAGCCCTTCCCCGGCAGCCAGGAGCTGCAGTTTAGTTTTCTCTGGCGGCAACACAAAATGAATATCATGAAATCCCCCTCAAAATCTGGGCCGCGATGTGCCTTTGCACGCGCTCTGGGTGGGGGACATAACCACGTCATGTGTACCCTTGGCCCGTGCCAGCAGCAGCTTGGAGGCCACATTCTCCATGGCTACAAATACCTTCCAGAACGCAGGGGGCCTCTGAGTGTGGAAGAGAACATGCTTCTCTCCTCAGTCAACAGCAGATGGGCAGTTTATGGTGGGAGGCAGGACTGTCCCAGAAGTCTGGCGGGGCCGCCCACCTCATGGGCACCTACGCTGCACCAGGCGGGCAGCTAACATTGTTGGGCTTAATCCTCATGACCTAGCCAGAAAACTCCTAGTATCCCATCCTGCAGATGAGGAAACAGAGGCTTGAGAGCTGACACAGCAAGTAAGTCATCGAGCCAGAGGTCAAACCCGGGTTTATCTGAACCCCAAAGTCCCTGCTCACTCCCTCACCCCTCCCTGGGCACGAAGCTCTGAATCTGCCCACACTGAGGGGTGCAGGCAGGAGTTCCTCCTCCGGGACTCAGTCTCTACACCTGTGTGGTGTAGAAGAGGGCCACACCTGATGACATTTGAGATGTGGGTTTGAGTTCCAGCTCCGCCACTCACCAGTGGAGAGACCTTAGACACATTCCCAACCCCAGCCTCAGTTGCTCATCTATAGAATGGGAACAACAGCATCCAGCTCATGGGCTCTTGTGGGGGTGGCACAAGGGCGTGGACAACAGCATCGACACAGCTGGCACTCAGGAGGGCTCCATCACCGCCCATCCTTGGGATTCATCAGCCCAGCTGTGACACATCAACGTCCTCTGGGGCTTCGTGTCCCTCTGCACCTGGCTCATTCTCTCTCTGCTGTCACATAAGGAGCACGAGAGAAGGCGCCATTTGCTGAGCACTGACTACATCTCAGACATTTCCACATTGTGTCC